AAGAAGGATCGTTCCCGATTTGGCCGAATCGAGGTGTCAGCTAGAAACTGAATAACTCTGGAAGTCCTCCTAGTTTTATTAATCTAGAGTTTATCATTCCTGCGAATCAGAATTTGACATGTTGTAGGCTCTAACCAGCATCCCTCAGAAACCACTCCTTCCAGATACAAGGATGTTCTAGTTCTGTGGATAAAGAATCTTTTATGTGCAGTGATGTTAACTTTAACCTTGTGTCATATGTGTATGAGAGCATGGTTTATTAACTTGTTAAATCAAACAGTACTGATCAAAATATGTAATATCATTGTCAGAACAATATTGATTTCATCTTCACTGAGTTAGGCACAGATTATTTGAACATATAACAACTGGTTCATTCAACCATATGATTATTTAATTTTTAAGTTGTAAAAGTTCACTTTTTATGTGAAGAGTGGACTCCTGTAGAAGCGATAAGTGATAAGGGTACACCGCCTTGGAGCTAGACGAGTGGACAGCAGAAGACCTCGTCCCATCGTGGCTAAATTTGAACATTTTAAGCAGAAGGATCTTGTTAAAAGTCACGGAAGAGAGCTCAAAGGAAAAGACTTCAGCCTAAATGACCAGTTCCCTAAGGAAATCCTGGATCGGCGCCGAGTCCTCTTTCCGCTGCGCAAAAAGTTTATCCAGGATGGGAAGAGAGCTGTCATCTCGGTGGATAAGCTTTATGTGGACAATAAGCTTTACAAGGAGCGAGGAGTGACTGACTGGCTGTATTAGCCCAACATCAGGTCAGACATTTACTATTCTTATCAGGATTCACTGGGTTTGATCACGTCAGGATTAAACAGCTGCTAAATCCGTATTCTAGATGATAAGATCACCTGTTCATCACCACCTTACACCCCTATCATCCTTTCTTAGTTCTTTCTTCTTTTTTAACCTGTATCTGTATTTTCCCTTCCTCTTTACCTGCTTCTGCACCTTTACACCTGTACGGCACAACCACACAACTTTCCATCACTGCGTCAGACTCGACACACACACACACACACACACACACACGCACGCACGCGCGCACGCACACACACACACACACACACAAATATATATATTAAATCTACAGCACAATATCATGATTTATGCATCCACAAACACTGTTGCATCTTTATTATTATTATTATTTACTTTTCTGTTATTTATTAACATATTATTTTATACATTTAGATACTTATTCCATCTTATTCACATGAAGGCGTCATATTTTAGCTACACACACACACACATCTATGGGTGCACTAACGTTTGTCTCATGGAATGTACATGGGACTGGCTCTAGAGAGAAGAGATAAAAAATTTTTGATCAGCTAAAGAGAGTGCAAGCAGACGTAATATTGTTACAAGAGACTCATAGATCTGCCACATCCACAGATGAACTTAAAACACCTGAGTTTCCCGGTATGTTCTCTGCCTGCTATAACTCTAGGCAAAGAGGTGTAGCTATTTTAATACACAAAAACATCAATTTCACAGTATTGGACACAATCTCTGATCCAGAGGGTAGATTTATAATGTTAAAAATATCTGTACAGAACCAAAGCTTATGTATTGTCAGCATATACTGTCCAAATATGGATGACCCTCCATTCTTTCATAATTTTTTCTCTGTACTCTCCGAACACTTGGACTGTCCACTTATACTTGGAGGCGATTTTAATTTTTGGATGAATTCCTTAACAGACAGACTCAGTACAGCTGGGACTCAGCGCAAATGGCAATCCACTAATATAGTTAAACAGTACATGAGTGATTATGGGCTTTGTGATACATGGCGATCTCTTCATCCTAACCGTAGAGAGTATACTTTTTTCTCACACGTCCATCACTCTCACTCACATTTGGATTATATTCTAGTCAGCAGCTCATTGTTGGCTGACATTTCAGACACTGAGATACACCCCATAGCTGTCAAGAGACCATGCTCCGGTCTCATTAACTCTGGTAAATAAGAAGACAATCCCACCAAGCAAAAACTGGAGGTTTAATCAGGCCCCCACAATGCAGCTCTGAAATTGGGTCAAACCCGGAAGTGAAATAAATTGCAGTTCCACCCTCATCCACTAGGGGCTGGTGTCAGAAGCGAGCACATCCTCATTGACTCCCATGTTAAAAATACCAATTTCACAGCAGAAATAAACATGTTTACAGCCTGGTACCAAAACATGTTTTTGGTTTAAATGATCTAGTTTACACTCATGACAACTCTGAGGGGGGTGAATTTTTTTCTCACTCTTCTGTTTAAGTGTATTAAAAGCCTAAAATTCTGTATAATTAATGAGCATCCGACCCACGTGACCACAGAGCTAGCTCCAGGGAAAGGCCTCAGTAGAGCCTCTGCCTGGCCTGGAAACTGCTCCGGGATTTTGAGTCTCTGTGTTTGTGTATTCTTTTTTGGATATTTTTTGTGCAATTGTTGGACAAAATGACTTGCTGTGGCATTAATTGCACTAATAGAGCGTCC